TTTGACCTTGTAATTAGGGGTCAAGGTCAATTTTGCGGTCGCTTTCTTTGACAGATCTCCACCGATCCAGAGGTGTAGAATCACCCCATATGGTTCGTGACATTTAATTTTTTTACACCCTGTACAAAAAGAAAAAGAGCATATAACAATGGCCTTTCAATAATTGAGTGTGACAATCAAAATCAAAGTGGGGGTATATTTGCCATTATTTGGTAAGTAATTTGGTGGATTCGAAGTATAGGTGCAATTGAATGTATCAATATATAATAATACGACTTGTTCTTTTTCTATATTTTCAACATCTGTTCGCACATTGATGGAGAAATTACAACCAAAGAATTATGGAGCAGAAAAATTTAATAGATACATTAAAGAAATTTACCAGCGTAGAATGAAATACTAGGACAAATAAAAAAAACGTACTCTGAAAATACGTGCAATTACTTTCTCGCAAGATATATCTGGACATATGTTTAAGGTGAAAAAGATATTAAACCTTATTTTCTTCAATACATCCTTTATTTCAAATTAATGTTGTTGAATATAATGCAGCGATATATAATAATATGATTTGTTTTTCTTTATTTTCAGCATTTATTCAGACATTGATGAAGAAATTACAACCAAAAAATTATGGAGTAGAAGAATTTTATAGATACATTGAACAAATTATCCAAAGAAGAGGATTATTAAATTAGATAAGTTTGTCTTGTAAATCATAATGTCAGAATATTTTAAATAAATAAATTAATAGGAGAAAATGAGACTTAATTTGTAATTTCCTGTTCCAATTTCCTTAATATACAATTTAATTTACGGTTCGCATTGTCTTCTTCTAGCTGCAAATAAATACTTATGTCGAGTAAAAATTCATAAATAAAAAGAAGAAGTTGTAATATTGTTGTAGTTACTTTGCTCTTCACTTTCATCTATTTTGTATCACTTGTATTGTATTTACAAATCACAAATTCATTTCATCCGAATACAACAGAACTAACTGCAATATTTCACTATTCAGACCAATCGGAAAAAGTATTAAAATATTTAGAAACGATCTTGTTCAAAGAAGACTTATGCAGAAAAGACAGAAAAGGAAATTCAATTACTATGAATTAGTTTTATTTCACCATAGGCAAATATAACCTAAAATCTTACAAAACGAAATTCACTAAATTTTTTGACAATTGTACTAAATAATATTACATTTAGTCCGACAATATATTGTGTCAATTACATTTCTTTCTCTTGATAATCTCTAGTACCTCAAAATTTTCTAGCGAAACACGGAGCATATGGCAAAACGTAATGCGTTATGCAGCTGACGCGATAAAACTGTAGAAATCGATAATTCCACTATTTTTCCACGCATTTTTATGGTCAATTTCTCTTTTTGCTGAAAATCACGAGTACTTTTCAATTTTTTAACGAGGGAAGGTGCTTATCATGGAAAATAAGTTGTTCTAAATATGACGCAATAAAATAGTAAAAAATCCAAAAAATCAATAATTCCGCTATTTCTTCATGTATTTTCATGATCGACCACTCTTTTTACTGGAGATCGCGAATAATTTTCAATTTTTTAACGACAGAAAGTGCTTGTCGTGGGAGATAAGTTGTTAAGTAGGTGACGCAATATAAAACAGTAAAAACTGAAAACATTGATAATTCACTTATTATTCCACGCATTTTCATGATCGACCTGTCTTTCTACTGGCAATCGTGATTATCCTTTATGATAAGCACCTTATGCCGTTAGAAAATTGAAAATTACTCGTGATTTTCGGCAACAAGGGAGGTTGATCCTGAAAATGCGTGGAAAATAGCGGAATTATCGATTTCTAAAATTTGATCGCGTCAGCCATTTATTGTTCACGATAGGCACATTCTGCCGTTAAAAAATTGAAAAGTATTCGTGATTTGCAGTAAAAAGAGAAGTTGAACATGAAGATGCGTGGAGAAACAGAGGAATTATTGATTTTTTCGATTTTTTACTATTTTATTGCGTCGCCTTTAGAACAGCTTATTTTTCATGATAAGCACCTTCCCTCGTTAAAAAATTGAAAAGTATTCGCGATTTGCGGCGAAAAGATACGTCAATCATAAAAATACATGAACAAATAGCGGAATTATTGATTTTTCGATTTTTACTATTTTATTGCGTCATCGCAGTTCCGTATGCAAATGTGTTGTGTTCGCTGTGACCTATACTTTTCATTTTTGGCCAAATAATATCGATGGACAGTACATTAAACAATAAAGATTGTAGCGGAAAAGCAGTACTTTAATCCTTCGAGGCCTCCTCCGAATCGATGTAAGTGCCATTGGAAAGAATCGGGCAATCATGAAAACACATAATTGAGAAATTCGACATTTGACGGTGTGACATCTAACGTCATTATGCAGAATAAGAAACGAAAGTGAGGTGGCACAGTTGCCAAATCACATCATTTGAGAGTTTTATCGCGGTGTTGCCGCATCTGTGATGATCTAGCAAAATGAATTTGCTCGAGCCGAGCGAGATTTTGATTCCTGGCGGACGTAGAAAAGGACAGCGCGAGAGAAAGAGAAGGAGTATCATGAATGAAACAACGTAGGGCCGATCGGCGTAAATATAGTCACACGCTACGACAGATTCGATGAGACTCTGTAATACACATAACGTACGCGACTATAAAACTTATAGGAATAAAAACTATATGGCATTAATAATTTCAGGAAAGGAATGAAAAATAAAGACATGTAAATTGATCTATAATATACAATATTTATCGATTGAAATATCATCAATAAATATAAACAATGCCCCTTCTTTCTTCGCGACGTCTACATCGTCGATTACCATGACAGCCATTCCAGCCACGTGTTATTGAAATCTTTTTCATCTGAAATATAATAATGAATTTTAATATAATTGTACCTGCATATACAGGGTGTCCCAGTCTAACTGTGACAGAATTATATTAAAATTCATTATTCATTTCTTTATTTCTTATTCCCTTCTTGAAATTATTATGTCAGGTAGTTTTCATTCCTATAAGTCTTATGGTCGCGTACTTACGTTATGTGTATTATTTCATTCATTCTACCCCTGCCAGCACCACGAATCCGTCGTTCTTTGATGTTTCCGAACATAGAAAAAGATAGCGCAAGAAGGATAAACAAAGAGAGAAAGACTCACAAGCACAACATTTAACCCAATATTATGCTATTAAATGTTGACCGATTTATATTGTGTTTAGCTTCATTTTAATCAGAAAAATCTTCTCCACATGATAGTGAAATTTTTATTAACAAAAGGTACAAAATAAAAAACTTTATTCTGTGCATTAGTATGGTCACATTGACACGGGACATTTAAATGAAGGCAATAAATCCTGGTTTCAGTCCCTCTTTCGTCTTTAGCTATTGACTCTTTCTAATCAGTGTTTACTGACTAGGCAATCAAATTTGAAAAATGATTCTCCTATTCCATAACAGTTGCGGAGTGGACCGGCAATAGTTATGTACATTTATCGAATTTTCACTGTATATGGTGCAAGTTTTATAATTCATTTTTCTGGCATACCATTTCAAGTATTCTATTTCCCAGATAGCAAATTGCATGCAGATTGGCAGCAGATTGGCAGCAGACTCTGGTAGAATCTGTCTACAAATCCATAGCCATCTGTTTCCGCATTTGGCTGCGTTTCTGCAAACAGAACCTGCCTACAGAATCATATAGCAGATTGGCGTCAGAAAGCGAGCAGATCCTGGTAACATAACCTGTTGCCAAATTGGCGACAGAAACAAAACAGAGTCTGCGCGCAGACTGTAATGTCAGATTTGCGGCAGATTGGCAGCAGAGCCTGCAACTTCAGCCATTTAAATTTTAAATGGACGCGCATATACTGGCATTTAAATGAGCTCTTTAAATTGTTATTATTACTTATTTTTTAAGGGAAAAAAAGAAATCTTACAATATTTTTATTTTATTATGAATATACATATGTGCTAGTTATTATTAATGTGGTATAAGTCAAAATTTATCAGTTATATTGAACGGCATAATACATAAGAACTGACAAGTTCAATGTTTTTTACATTTCTATTTACACCACTTTCATAATAACCGACATATATATATGTATTTATTAATTTAAAATACATATTTATAATTTCGGTGTTCATTTTTATATTAACAATTTCTGTGAAGTATACTGTCACTCAAAAATTTGAAATCAGGATTGTAAGTACTGCAAACAAAGAGAAGAAACGTGAAATTATATTACTTGTAATCGAATTGCAAAATTGTGACTGCTAGTATTTTATTTATTTCTTCTTTGTGTGGTGATTCCTCTTCTCCACTGCATTTGGGCTGAAGCGAGCGTGCTCGTGTATGCACCGCGTATGCAGTTGCTTTTTCTTGAAACGTCTCCGTTACCGTACACGAAAAAAGAAAGTAGAATTCATTAGTATTAATCCAATGAAGAAGTTAGTATGAACAATGAAATTTTTTAAAACGACAAAAGTATACATATGTTAGTAAATTCATTTGTCGAACTTCTCAAAAAATCTCGTCGTTTGGTCCAATTTCAAATGAGGTGTTTCCAAACTTTTTGACGAGGGTCGGTTAGGTTCAGGTTAGGTTAGGGTTAGATTAGGATGAAATATTTTGACGAGGGTTGGTTCCTAAGGTTTTTTTTTTTTTTTTTCTTTTTTTTGGCGAGGAGGGGGAAAATGCTTTATGCACACCGGGCAGGGACCGCAAGCCCGGTAGTGTGGAACTCCGTATACCCACTAAAAATCCTACTCCTCGTACTTACCTATATATACACCGGAACCGCCTGTTTCAGCATTGCTTTACCCTGATTCGTAGGGTAGGTTGTAGCTTCTGAAAATTGGTCAGAAAAAGTAGTTAATTTTCAAACCTGTCATATAGGATAATGGTAAGAATAATACTATAATAACAAAAACATTTAGTGGGTCATACCTTAAAATTAAAGCCGCTTCATCCTAGATATATTTCTTATTTAAACGCCATCTCCTTCCCGCGTCTTTAGTGTAGCCTGTAAAACCAATAGGAATATTGAAAGAGATGCAGAGAGGTGAATACATGTTACATTTATTTATGTATTTATTTCTAATAAATACTGTACGTGTTTGAAAAGTTGGCAGTACGGCCGAAAATGCGTATGAGCCTAGATGGGGCGCAACCAATCAAGCCTGCATTCCTTCCCACTGCCAACACTCGAAACGCTAACAGTAGGAAAATACGTATATATACATATCGATCTTACATGTTGTCGGAATGTAGCATCACAACCACGGCGTATTCTCTTCTTTGTTGTTCGTCCTCTTCATTGTTGTCCATGTTGTCTCCAGGAAACGGCATTCGGAAACACTTTGAACAAACATCGTATGGAGTAATATTAAATTCGGGGCTCAAATATCGACATTTGTACACACCTACCGCCGAGGATTTTATACCAATATCAAAAATATCACCGACCTCTGTGAATTTCTGGACGCCTAAGCGGAATGTATTTCTGTCCTCAGCAATGGAGGACAGAATACATATGGCGCCGTCGTGCAAGATGCAGCAATTATCGCGTACATCAAGACTGAAGGACATGCCATTAAACTGTATCCTACGATACTGGAGGATATCAGTTCCGCAACGAAGAGGCACAGATACTTCAACATCAGAAGACGCAACGACCCTCACCCTATTTGCTCCATGAGCCTGAATCTCCGCCATTCTGTTCGCGAATTGCTGAAGAGGTAGGTCCGGTTTTCTGCAGTACTTCCTAAAAATGCACATGTTGCTTTCATAGGGGAAAGCAGAGAAAGAATCTACAGGACCAAGACGTCTTACATCATCAGTCAAATGTAGAAGACCATGTACATTATAGGAACAGAAATTTGGGCCATACAACTCTTCACTACGCAGAACAAATTTTTGCAGAGCAAGCTCTGCAAAATTCAGAAACTGATTCGACGGAGATTTTGACGCTAAAATTCTAATAGCGGTGTGAAGGAAAAGGAAATGAGTATATAAATTCTCATTGAGGAGCCCATAAGCCACAACCGGACCTGTATACAACAGAAATTGCCTAAACTCTGTTGCTTTATACTTGGCATAATATACCAGAGATCTTGGGCGTCTTCCAAACTCAGAGGGACAAAATTCTCTGAGTCTGTCCAGTCTTGCAGACATATCAGCAAGATGGCTACCTGACAATTTGGATAAACGTGAAAATTTTCCACTTATCCATGCAGATAAGATTTTTTTCGTGACGCCCAAGCATACCAAATGCATATATTCAAATGGAACTTGAGAAACCATTCCAAAAGGTAGTGATGCTAAGGGACTGCAACCTTCTTTATGATGGTCCTCATCTACACATTGAGAGTATTGGTTGTCAGTTCTAAGCACATGTTTTATGCCATTGAAGACATATCTACCTTCGCTGTGCGTACCAGACACTTTGCATTTGGAACAGGGCCGGCTGGATGTATGGCCACGGTGGTTGAGGATAAAAGCTCTTGCTGGTGCATCAGCAATAAAGCATCTTAATTTTATTGGTACCTTAGTACCATCAAGATCTACACCACCGTTGGAAAGCATATGGGTTATGTTCATGATGAACATATTGAAAAGCCTATTAGGATCACTAGGCTTTTGCATTCCTCTATAAATGCCGACAACTATTGGCCTTGCATCAGGTATGTTCCTAATCATACACTGAATCGGCCACAGATGGATTGTTCCCGCTCTATCTAAAGCACATCCATCTGTGCTGAAATCTAATTCTAATTCCCTATCTGGTGAAAAAGAAGCATTCCTGATATACTTCACAATTTCAGCTTCGACATCAAAATGAATATACTCCCCCGGTTCTACAACATATGTAGGAACACGAGTCCGTGGAGTACCCAGGACAGTCCTAATATCCTTCGGGAGGTTGGTAAAGCAGGTATGGGTCCGAAGAAGGGTAAGTAAATTGTTACCCTGAACATGATTGATATTGTTATGAACACAATAGGAAGCCAAACTTTCCTGAAATGAAGTTTCAGGAACCGCTTCAGAACTACAGAATACTGAAGAAGACAAAGAAGAAGAAGAAGAAGAAGAAGAAGAGAAACAAGAACTGTCATCCACGTCCACACCATGGATGGCATCAATACCATCTGCGTAATCTGTGGAGGATGAAGGAACATCCGCCAGATTAACAGGGGCATTGATCTCTTGAATACAAGAAGAAGAAGAAGAAGAAGCCAACGAAGGGACAAGACTATTGGACCCTACCTCATTCCTGATGTTGCGTCTCTCTCTGGTCGATGATATTTTAAATATTGGTTTCCTCGATACTGATAACTTAAAATTAAAGGAACTCATAATTAAAATTATTAATTAAATTAAATGTATGTTAGGAATATAAATGTAAATATATGTATATGAAAAAATAAATGTAAGTAAAAAAAATTTGTGGTTAATCTATGAAAAAAATGAATATTATTTAAAAATGGAAAAAAATGGTTAGTAGATAATAGAAAAATGGTGGTTAGTAGTTATAATAGTAAATAAAATATATGAATAATTTATATTTATTAATATGCGATTAGAATAAGATGCCTGTTGCACTGCACTATCGTTCGTTCAGCGACACAAAGCGAATGAAACAAAACGGTTGAACGCTGTCTCTGGTATGTATCAGTTATTGCGGGAAACGCGATCATTGGATGCGCATTTTCGTCACGTTGATTTCTCCAACCAATGTAAATACCTCCCGCTCAAATTGATGGATCGTCTTTTGTTTTATAACGGAACGACTGCAGAGTGGCGCAGAGATGATCATTCTCTGTTCTCAGGCTCGTCAGAGACGGTGTCTGTACACAGACTGTGAAATTAGGACACTTTTTTACTGCGATTTTTTTTCTAATTTCTTTATAGGGACTACAGGAGAGAAGTGCAATTGCCAAGGATGAATTCAAATGTAAGTATGACTTTTATTCATTGCAATTACATGTATCGCGGATATGAATGTATACATATTTTAAATTTTCTTCAAATATTCTTTTATTACAGATGGAAATGGAACATCGTCCGAAGAGGATGGCCAACAAGCCGGCCCGGTATCAAACCACGTCCTCCGACGAAGAACCGCGAAAGCGTTTAAAGGTGGCCCCCGGAAGTATCGTGGAGGACATAACAGACCTCAGGGCTACCTTGGAGGGCGTGGACGATGAAGTTCCATCTAATAATTATAGACAACACGAACACACGAGCACATACACACCACTAGACACATATTCGCCATACACACCATCAAACATAAACATATACTCGCCACACATACCACCAAACACATACAGGCCACCTCCAACAGTATATGCACCACCAACGCAAACTTTTCATATTCCAGATGCAGTGGAGAGCAGGCCTGAACCACGGATGCAGCAAGGTACGGAACCTACAAATGTACAAATAAGGTAAGTTGCATGTTCATTCTTCTTCTATACAATATTGGGAATAAGAATATATTCCTCAATTTCTTACATGTTTAAGAACATTTTCTTACAAATATTAATGTTTACAGGGATCTATATACAAAAATTGGCAACCTGGAGTCCATGGTGACGTAAGTATTGATTGCATGTTATTAAAGTATATATAATTATCATTTATCTTTATAGGAAAACCCATTCATTATTGGAGAAGGTGGCGAAGCAGCAGCAGCAATTGCTGCACCAGCGTCATGGAATTCCGTCAAAGCCAGCGTTTCTACCAATTTCATCGTTGGCTGCAATGACGGAATTCCAAAATACTGATGAAGACAGCTACAGGGAAGTTGTAAGTGAAACAGAAGTTTCATTTCATTTATCTGTATGTATCAAATGTTTGTGTCAGTTGTTACTTACTTTGTTTAGGTAAACTATTTGGAGTACGTGGGCGGCTTCAACCTGAAGGAAGCAGTCACTCTCTCTTTTAAAGAAACAGTGAGTGACTGCTTGCTAACATCTTATTCCTGGTTGGGCCGTGAAGATAACAATCTCGCACTTTGCGAGACAAGAATTGTTCGTGCTATACACGGTAAGAATCACTGTTTATATAATTGTGATATTATTACTTCATATGGTATTCAGTATCCATATTATATGCTTACATTTGATTTTTAGATGCCGTGCTCCAGAATAGGCACTTCCCAAGGCCGTCCCGCAAGGATGTAGCGGAACATTTAAAAGCGGCGCTTCGCACTGCTAAGAAGAGGCCCCCGAAATCCTCAGCATGAAACAGTGGATAACTTTTGGACTGCTGAGGAACAACCACGTTGAAACAGGAAGAGGTTAGTTTTGTATTGGATTACATATATAATCATAACCTTCAAACACATGTACTTACGTATGTACTTGCAAGTACCTTCATGCCTTTTTTCATTTACTGCCATAAACTCACTTGTTGGATAAATAACTGTAATACAAACACATCTTTTTCAATCTTTCTCTTCTCTGTCGCTTTCTCATAGCGAGCAATCCATCTATGGCCGATTCAGTGTATAATTAGGAACATACCTCATGCAAGGCCAATAGTTGTACGTATTTATATGGGATGGCAGAGACCGTGTCAACTGTAAACTGCTCGAAACCGTGTTCCAAATCTTTTTTCTTTCTCTACGGCACACGGCAGCTCTAGCAGTGCCCTCTAGCAAGAATGTACATATGTACATAAACATTTATACATATGCATAATATTTATAATTTGCAGCAGGCTGGGGTCAAGCCGTGAAGAGGAACTGAAGAAGAACTGAAGAGGATCTGAAGAAAAACTGAAGAGGACCTGAAGATATAATTATTTTATACTATTTTATATTATTTTATTTTATTTTATATTATTTATATTATTTTATAATTATGTTATTTTTCTGAATTTATATATTATTTATATCAACATTTATATGTTGATTTGTTATGTATATTGTTGACATTGTAAATGTACATTTTTTTGTTGTGAATACTGATAAGGTTTTGGCAGTTTTCCTTATCCTAGCAACAAATGTTGGTATTCGTGAAATTATTCTGCCAAATAAAATATTTTATTTTTTATTATATATTTTGTTTACAGTTCTTTTAGTATCCGTCCCTTTCCTATGATCATGACAATTTTTCACAAGATTATATATAAATGTACATATACTGTATACATGACAAATGTTTAATGGTATCTTTCATTTCTTTTATTGAATAAAGTAAACGCATTATCAATTAATTGCAATTTATTAATTATCAATAATTTCTTTTATAATTTATAATTTTCTTTTTATTTCGCTCGTAGTATTACAATTCATGTTATTCAAAAAAAATATACTACGCTCCTATCAAATTTGTATAGTTCTTATTCCGGAACACTCGAAGTTCGGAAAAAGATTTTAAATACCACTTATATGTATAGTCACAGTTCCGTTTAAAATTTAAATGGCTGAAGTTGCAGGCTCTGCTGCCAATCTGCCGTAAATCTGCCATCACAGTCTGCGCGCAGACTCTGTTCTGTTTCTGCCTCCAATTTGGCAACAGGTTATGGTACCAGAATCTGTTCGGTTTCTTACGCCAATCTGCTTTAGCAGGGTCTGTTACATTTATGCCGCCAATCTGCTGCAATAACTGTATTTAACAGATCCTGCATCAAATCTATAGCCATTCTGCTTACAAGACCTTGTAACAGGAATCCGACAGAATCTGCTATGCGCAGGTTTGGCTATCAGGGTTGTAATTTAATTAATAAAAAAACATGATTATAAATATGAATAAAAAAGTTTGATGGTTGCACACATTAGTACATGTATTGTTTCATTCTCGAACCTCTTTCTCTCTCGAGCGCCCTATTCTTTTCTATGTCTGGCAGGAATCAAAATCGGCTCGAGCCTGTTGCAATTGTAACAGATGTGGCAACAGCGTGACAGAAGTCTTAATACGTTGCGGCAACTATGCCATACTTCTGGCTATATTCGCGTAGATGTTTGAGGTGTCAAATAAGAATTTACATTTATCGACCGATTTGTGTTTTTATCGACCCCGATGATAACGTGGTCAAATATACCATCAATGCCTCTGACGGAGAATCAATGAACTATTCTTACGTCTATTTTACGTCTGATGCGTGCAAATCGTAAATTTCGTTTTACGTCTTCCAGAAGTGATAAATTGTGGAAAATCGGATTTCAGTGATATTGTGCTTGTTAGTGTCAGCACGCATGCAAGGGTCGACACGTGGCAGAGTCAATGCATTTGGGGCTTTGACCTGCTTTTCAAGGACTCTAACCGACTTCTCGGGGTTCTTTGTAATGTCGATACCCCGAGCCATATGTCTGTCATCGGACTTGGGCCGGCGGTAGTTGATTGGGGTGCGACGAATTTTAAGAGTCGCGGATGTTTTGTATATGGAATGGCGATAGAGAGTTCGATCGCCGAGCTTCAAAGAAACGCGGATGTGGCCGATGACCCAAAGTCATGGTGCTGCGTGGCGCGTGCAGAGAGATAAGAATTCGAAATAAAGGATCTCGCCACGGAGTGGGGAGGGTCCGGGGACCCTCTGGCAAGAGGACTGTGTCAAAAGACACGGCACTTACCCGAGAACCTCGGATCGATCGTGATCTCTGACATGCTAGTTCAAGGAAGGGTGGTCTGGTGTGCTATGGGTGAAAAAACCATTAAATCGTCCAATATTTGCTAAAATGCAGCCGAACGCAGCATTCGGCAGCCATGTTGTTTGCTTACTGTGTCTCTCTCACGCATGGCGTATACGTGCATGCTTTCCGTTGATTGTGTGAGTGCACGCATACAGGTCATGGCACAAGGAGTCTGTGCCCTTAAGGAATCGAAATTTTAAGAAATCACCATTGTATTCAAAAATCTATTTTCGTCAATAGATTGGTTTTTGTTTTCCCGAGCTTCGGCCTCGACAAGGAAGACATAGATTTTGTCATACTCCTGCCGAAACCGAGAGTGTTTTCTTTCTCATACTGTCAGCTGTCAGCTAGGCCAACGACCCAATGATGTCGTCACGGATAGGCGACGTCATCGGAACAACAACCTCGCCAGGTGATCGACAACTTAGTAACGACAATTTTCGAGAGTCGACTTTCGAGAAGTTTAAAACATCTAGTAACTGGAATCTGTAAATATTACAGTTCACATTACAAAATGCTGGATGTGTTTTATAGTTTTACACATGTTAGATTATATGTATATAAATTACGAATTTTCCTTTCAATTCAGTATCTAATAGATGTATTAAACCTAAATGATTTTATCTTTTATCAGGATTTCAACAAAAATTTGTCATTAAATTATAGCTCATAAATGGAAAGATCGAATCATAACAAATTATATATACACATGCTTTTGTTAATTAAGATATAAACAAAATAAGATGATAAAATTTATATTTATATATAAAATTTATATATCAAATAATAGTTAAAAGTAGTCTATATATAATAAGTTTCTTACTTAGTAAGGAAAAATGTAATCGAACCACACTGTATCAACGTCAGGTGTAAGAACCCTGTTAAGGACTGCTGATCAATCCTTGGGATATTGCACAAAGTGCCGTCTGATTTTGATTAGTATCACCCAAGCAAGCAGGTTGGGAGAAAATGATTGCACACATTTATACACTATTATATTGTTTATTCCTATTGCAGCGTGTATATGTGTGTACGTGTAACTGGGTGTGTGTGTTTGAATTTACTACAATCTGTCGTGAGTGTCTGACGGTTATCCCTCTTGTACAAGGTACCAAAACGAAGTGTCCTCTTCTCTAAAATTTGCTTCGAGCTCGTGCCCCCCCCTTCCAACCGCCCTTAGTGCATTTCCGATATAGAAAGAGAACACGAGCATCGCCTAGGTGGGCGAAAGTTAGACTTCGAGAAATTCTGAGAATTGACCTGAACTTGGGTCCTCATTGTAAACAGTTCAAGTGGCAAGCAGAACGACCACTTGCATCCCTAAAAGGCGAAATTTATGGTGTCTAATACCGTCTATTTCCGGTGACTGACAAACTCCATGTGCGCCACCCAGAGCCTGATAATCAGATGGCAACAACATGGTCAAGGGGACCCAATAAATCTTTCTAAATCCCTTCAATATGAACTCCAACAAACCCAGTCATTCTTTTGTAATAGGTTTAAACACTGAAGTACAAGTAATAAAGAACAACAATGCAAATTAATTAATGTTTCATTCAGTGATAAATGAAATATAATTAAACATTTTCTTAAACATTGCATGATAGTCAATAATCAGTTAATAATTACGTAGACAAGGTATATGCATTATTGTATATGAATGAAATATTAAAAGCATCTTGTAAACCTGTAAATAAAAAAGACTTTGTAAGAAAAACCATAGAAATATACCGCAATCAGTTAAATAAGATTTATACTTTGCAAGTAGGTTTATTTCATTTCATGTAAATGAGTGCTCCTATATTTATTGAATAAAGTGTATTATATGTTCATTGTCATGACTCCAATGTCTCTAAAGAAATAAACCTTAAACACTACATTTTTATTAATGTGCTGCAGAAAATGTATACATTGTCTGTTGAATAAATATGTTTATTATAAATAATAATTGACAACCTTGTATACAGTTGATAGTGTTACTAAAATCTCATAAATTGAATAGTACTTCTAGAGATTTTCTATTTCTTTTGCTATCAATGTGAGACAATCACAAGCAATGGAAATAATACTTTCTTTTTATTAACGGTAGCGCACTTATTCCACATTTGATTTTTTAATAGTATGTACTAATAAGAAACTGATTCAAATGAATGTTCGAGCTAACAAATGTGCACATTAACCGCGTTACTTATAAACTTGGCACATCCGTTCAAGCTTAAAAATGTGGTGTAATTTATTATTAATTTATAACATCAGAATGAACTAATTAATGAATATAGGATAGGTTAGGTATAATATCCAACAGATTTAAATCTTATTTTTATTTAGTGTTATATCTTTATTTTTACTTTTTAAATATGCATAAAGAATTTGAACTATCCGTAGTACGTTTTTATTAACTGCAACAAATGCATACATTATCCTTAATTTCTTTAATGGACCTATTCAACTTTTCTACTCCATAATATTTTGGTTGTAATTCCCACATCAATGTCTGAATAAATGCTGAAAATAAAGAAAAAGAAATCATATTATTATATATTAATACATTATACTCAACAATATTAATTTGAAGTAAAGGATGAATTGAAGAAAATAAGGTTTAATATTTCTTTTACCTTAAACATATTTCCAGATATATCCTGCGAGAAAGTAATTGCATCTGTTTGCAGAGTACGTTTTTGTTATTTGTCGTAGTATTTCATTCCACACTGTTTAATTTCTTTAATGGATCTATTCAACTTTTCTACTCCATAATTTTTTGGTTGTAATTTCCGCATCAATATCTGAATAAATGCTGAAAATAAAGGAAAATGATAGAAATTACGTAATAAAACTTTGCTTTACTTCGCCAAAACCACACGCACCGCATAAAATTGCCATGGTGGATTAGAACAAAAGACTACGCACGTGTTCATCGTTACGTTCGTCGACCTTCGGTCGAATTCGGTAGCGATCGGTCTCACGCATACATAGAGCATTGTGACGTATCACTTTCTTTCACTCCCCCTATCGGTACAATGCTTACAGATAATTTTTAAATTACTTTTTAATTTTCATAAGGTTAATACAACAATCGTGCTTTGGTTTACATAAAGCTTTAGTTAACACATCCGCGGCCATAAACTCGCTACGCTCATATTTTAATAATATTTCACCTCTTTCGTAAGCTTCTCTCGAGAAATGATATCTAATATCGATGAGTTTAGACCTACTATGATATACATTGTTCTTCGTTAATTGAATGGCACTTTGATTGTTGCAAAATACAATTGACGGTCCCTCACCTATACAACTCATTGTCATGTGCTCAAGCAGTCTTTTTAAATATAATAATTCTTTCACTACCTCAGATAACGCCATGTATTCCGCTTCCATGGTCGACAATGCTACTGATTTTTGTTTTTTTCGATTTCCAACTTATGGGACCATTTGCAAACATTATTACATTTCCGGAGCACGACCTTCTATTATCTAAATCGCCTGCCCAATCGGCGTCTACGTACGCATACAAATTTTTCTTTGACTTTTCGTACACTATTTTGTAATCGCTAGTGCCCTTTAAATACCTAATGACTCTTTTAGCTGCCTTCCAATGTTGTAGACCGGGGTTTGCACAATATTTGCTTAACTCACTACTGGCGTATGATATGTCAGGGTGTGTACTATTTGCTAAATAAACTAAGCTACCTACCAACTCTCTATATGGCTTATCTTTCATGTTTTCTTTTTCTGTTTCTGTTTTGGGTTCCATTTCTTTTGTCACTTTTATGCTTACTTCAAGAGGGGTGCTTACTGCATTTGCATCTTTCATATTGAATCTACTTATGAGGTTGTTGATGAATTGCCTTTGCATTATACTAATCTTTCCTACAGGGCCGTCCCGTTCTACTAAAATACCCAAGATTTGTCCCCCTTCGATTTTGATGAAACTTCGTACATTTGTTAAGCAGGTAAAAATAAGGGACACGTATTTTTTTATATCTGCTGAGACGCGACTTTAAGGGGTGAAACCACCCCTCAAAGTTTCGACCTGAAACTGCTATCTCGAAAACCAAAGAAGATACGTGAAAATTTCTAATGGGCGGATTTAATGGTTTTTTATATACAATGATATGGCGTTAACAGATTGTCGAAAATACCATTTGTTTATAACAAAAAAAATTTTTATAACATTATTTTACAACTTATTTAAATTTATGTAATGACAAAAAATGTAGAGCATTTTATTCCAAATCCATTGATATATATGTTTATGAAATTGCCTCCTACAGTTTCGTAGATTCTTATTATCGCACGAATGCCCGCTGAGTCAGCGCGTGATACTTTAATCGTACCTGACGTTATACCGATATTACTTATCCGCGTAAGTGGAAAACAACTATTTTTATAACATACAATGTTTAATCTTGTTAAATTTGTATCGCATGATATAAAATAATTAAAGTTATACATACTCGATGGTAGATGTATTAAATTGATAATTTTAATATGCAACAAGTGATTTGTATAACTTAAGGAACATACTCATGACAAAAATGATAATCATCGAAGAAATGCTTCAAACATAAAGGCTTTCGGCACCAAGCACAAGTACTAATAGCCACATCACCACATACGTGACATCGTGGTTCATTATCTGCAGCATAGCAGAACTCCACGGGATTTTCAAAATGAGGTGGTCTCGATGATACATATCCACTTTTATACCATGAATATTTAATAAAATTTTCAAATCGCGGGGAAGAAAATTGATTATGATCCAGCGACTGAAGTTTTAAAATATTGTCCCTCGTATGGAGATTAATCTCGTAATGTAACAGGATGACTGTGTCCGAAAACCGGCGAACAAAATTTTTCCATACACGAAATCCGTACACGTCTAATGGTTGTAAATATTTTGTAGTCCCTGCTGGAATCGTAAATACTACTAATTCTTTATTTTCCGGTGTAGTTTCCACAATACTACGACCACAATGTCCACTCCAAGAATCTAATAGTAAAGCAGTCTTATCGTTTGTATTAGGAAAGTAAACTTCTTTTAACCAAATTTTAAAATGTTCATTAGTCAGTTTTCCAGATGTTGACGCGGTAACCAAAATGTTCGTTGGTTTAAACATAGTCTGCTACACCCTAGGTCCAAACTCTCCAGATGTTTCCTTTAACACGACGAAGGGAGGAGATAGCAGTTTTCCGCTTGCAGATATTGTAGGTTGTATAGTGTAGCTATGAGTAGTGGATGGAATTGACTGTATTACAGCTTCTACTTTCTTCGTACCTTTCAACGCCAAAGTTCGTCCAGAATGTAGTTCGAGGTTGAAACCACTTTGATCCGAATTATACAAATTCTCAAATGAGGTAAATGATGCTAAATCTTCTTCTAATTTTGCTTGTAACGCCCACCGTCGAATATCTATGTCATGTACTATTATATTTGACTGTATTGCTTGTATAACATTTTTGTATGTATAATCTGCAATACGCAGTAATTTATCTAAACGTGTGCCACCCATTTCGACTTGGGCAGCCCATTTGCGTAACTGTCGAACAGACTTGACCGTTCTGAATCTAGATTGCACTGTTTCTAATTTCAAACGTTTCGTCTTACCATTCTTCCAGTATTCCACAGCATTTATTCTGTATTCATAACTGGTTGGTGCTTCGGAGAGCGTACATTTTTCTAATTGTTGATCTTGTTCCTCTTCATCAGTAAGGTCCGTTTCCGTTAGGTCCATTTCCGTTTCTTTCAGCCACTGGAAATTTACATCAGGATCTTCACCGTTTGCAAACTCTTCTTCAATGTTTAAATATGTTTCTTGTTCTATGTTGAATGTTGGATCTTCCATACGTTGCACGATTATGTCATATAAAATGTCTTTTAACTCTAACTCAGCACTGTTAACAGGCGTCACTTTTTTATCCACAGAATTAAAAGCTATGGATAATAAAGTAAGCACATTTATCGGATTAATATAAACCATTGTGCAGAATAAGTTTTGGCAATAATAAACTTCTATTCGTCTCGGTAACTAAACGTCTTGAATTCAAATACTGGACAAAGTAAAAAGTCACTGCATTCACCGATTTTATATACGTATTCTGGCTCATTGCTATACGATAAATCACGTGGTCGAAGCGCGATTGGTGAGAGTTCTGCATATAAACAACAAAAATTTATAAGATTATACGAGTGAAGGTCACATAGGTTACAAGATATTTTTATTTTTAAAGTAAATGTTTCATAAACAATCGTTTTACTATTCCATTCGTTGAGTGGATACTGTAGTGGACATATGGAAAAAGCTGCATCAGACAATAAACAATTAGAAGTATTTACTATCTATCTGAAAATAAACCACGTATGGCTATTATTACTTGTGCTTGGTGCCGAAAGCCTTTATGTTTGAAGCATTTCTTCGATGATTATCATTTTTGTCATGAGTATGTTCCTTAAGTTATACAAATCACTTGTTGCATATTAAAATTATCAATTTAATACATCTACCATCGAGTATGTATAACTTTAATTATTTTATATCATGCAATACAAATTTAACAAGATTAAACATTGTATGTTATAAAAATAGTTGTTTTCCACTTACGCGGATAAGTAATATCGGTATAACGTCAGGTACGATTAAAGTATCACGCGCTGACTCAGCGGGCATTCGTGCGATAATAAAAATCTACGAAACTGTAGGAGGCAATTTCATAAACATATATATCAATGGATTTGGAATAAAATGTTCTACATTTTTTGTCATTACATAAATTTAAATAAGTTGTAAAATAATGTTATAAAAATTTTTTTTGTTATAAACAAATGGTATTTTCGACAATCTGTTAACGCCATATCATTGTATATAAAAAACCATTAAATCCGCCCATTAGAAATTTTCACGTATCTTCTTTGGTTTTCGAGATAGCAGTTTCAGGTCGAAACTTTGAGGGGTGGTTTCACCCCTTAAAGTCGCGTCTCAGCAGATATAAAAAAATACGTGTCCCTTATTTTTACCTGCTTAACAAATGTAGTTTCATCAAAATCGGAGGGGGACACTTCGCGGCCTTTCCTTGTTAGTTGTTGTTGTTGGTTTTGGAACAAGATGACAATTTTCTTAATATCAGCATCGGAGAGGATGATATGTTTTAAGCTTTGGTCATCTTTTCTTGCAAAGACAAATGTGCCTTTAGCCCATACATATTTGAACCCAATAGCTTTCAATGATCGTTTGGCTTCACCAAGTAGTTTGAAGGTGTGACTAGGGACAAGCTCATTAATAATGATGTTGAAATCGGCTAGCCCGTCCAGGTAGGTTCCTAATTGTGCTGGTAATTGAGTTTTGTCAATCATCGAGTACCTAAGTCCATTAAGAGTTTTGGCTTCAACTAAAATTTTACGCACAACTTTAGGATTGATGCATGTGATGGCAATAGAAACTTTAGTGCAACGTTGGTCTGCTGAAGAGATTGGGCTGGCAGCTGGCGTTGGATTTTTGCGCATGATATTATCATGACTGATGTTAAGCTTATTCAATACTGCATGTACCAACGGTAATGGGTCTTCGAGAAGCGGATTTTCTGGAAGTCCAGAGAGAGTAATCTCAGTTGTATTGGTTTGCTGATTGATGAGGTATTGGAGACAGGCTGAGTTAGATTCGGTTACAACAACGAGTCTTGATAGATCACTATTATTATCATTGTAAACGCTGGAGGTGGATGGATCATTAGCTGTGATATTGTCAACTCGCTGTGTTAGATTGGCCAGTTGCGTCCGGAATTCAATATTATCATTACGGAGTTGATTGGTGGTGTGTTTGAGTGCTTCATTGTCTTTTTATAGGCTGTTGGCTGTGGTTTTCAGTTCTACGATATCCTTGTGGTATTCATCAAGTTTCGCGTTAATTAATGGTATGTTGCTTAATAATGATTCTTGGTTTCTAAGTTGTGCGTTAATTAAGCTGATACCTTCGAGAACTTCATGCAAAACGGCCTTGTTAGTTGTGGATTTCTTTAGAGGCCGGTCGCTATCATCGTATGGGAGATTGGAACGAGTCCTTTTTTTGAGTCATTTGAGATACTGGAACTTTCAGAGTCCGAAGGCGACGGAGGTTGAAGAAAGTTCATGCTGCTGGCTGTAGAAGTATCAGTGGTTGTGGCTTGATCGGATGTGACAGGTGTAATGTTTTGGCGTTTGTCCGACATGTCGTGTATGGTAGTGACTATCTCAGGTTAGCACAAACAGATGGCGGAGAAAGTTGATTATGGTTGAGAGAAAGTAGTGCGTGTGACAGTTATCGACAGGTGACTTAATTGGCTGCACTAATCGCTAGGTGGCACAAATGGTGGAACCAGTAAAAAGATGCGTGAGGGAGAAGACAGGTGAAAAAGACGGAGATGGATGATAACCTCAATCTCTAGAGATCCCAAGAAAGCACTAAGAGGAAGATTATGCAGCTCCTCCCATGATAAAATTATATCGGGAAGAAGTCTGTATGTAGTAGTATACAGTATCCTGAGAACAAAGAAATGCCCGAAGGCAGTGTGCGGCAGTACTAATTCAGAGAGAACAGAGCGAACAAAAATAGCGTGCGACTGTACTTACAGAGAGAGAGAGAGAGAGAGAGAGAGAGAGAGAATGTGCGCGAATATGAAACACTGAATGAGTGATCGCATGTATTTTCAAACAGAGCGAATGATAGGTTGGATGAGGAAAGAGCGAAAGAGAATGAGTGGGAGAATGAGAGAGAAGCGTGTGTAGCAACCGGCAGTTGTAAAAGACAGAGCGATCAGATTTAGAGCGAGTGGCAAACCAAACAGTTCCCACAGTAGCAAGTCTTGTAAAATCAAATCGTAATTAAAATTTATAACAAGAATCTGAATTTAGGTATAATTATTATCTACAACGTATATAATCCTTTCTCTTTCTGGCATTAGCGATTCCGATGTGTTTCATTCGTGTGATTCTACGTTCATTCGGAAGCGCTTACAATTAGTGCCAAAATGAGAGAACATGTTATATTCTATCCCTTTTCAAAAAATAACATCGCTGCTCGGCCGATCACTGTATGGTTTGCCGGTACCTCCGATCTCTCACTCGTTTCTCGTGTTCTCTATCGTTCCGTTTCGAGAACAAAGTCAAACGGTATAGCATACCTGCTCCGTAATAAACAACTGTTCGACCCCGAGCGAGTTGCTCATTTCGAGGCAACACTACTGATTACTAACACTTTCCTTGCAGGCAACAATTGAAAAAGGCAGCATGCCTCACGGTAAGTGAAGGTACCGCGGCGGAAGCAGGTACCTGTGCAGGTACCTCCGAAGAAACAATCGTAAGTACATCTGCTGCAGATGAATTTCTTACGGAGAGATTATATGAAGAAAACATAGAAAATGTTGAAGAAATGGAAACTATCGAAGAAATTGTACAAGAAGGAGATTTCTATACAGGAGAAGATCAATTGAATACCACCGATGAAAACGAAGAAATAAATTGGGTGGTAGAGAAAGCCGAACCACAACAGCCAAAAGAACCAATTTCGGAAGAAATAGATTTTGCTGATTTTGCATATATATTCGAAGAAATAAAAAATCTTGCAAATCATTCATCTATTGGCTGTGGCATTGAACATTTCGAAATAATTGGATGTCAACAATATGGCTTAAAAAAAACGTATAATGTACAGTGCCGAATGTGCAATTACATAGGACACATTCCGTGTCTTCGAAAGAATGATGGCACTATGGATATTAACCATGCCGCTGTTTCTGCAACAATAGTTACGGGCGGCGAATATAATCAATTGGAGGAATTACTCTCTGGCGTGAACATGTCTTGCATGACAAAAGGGATGTACGAGAAATGTCAGGATGACATAATCGACGGCTTCGAAGGGGCCGCATAACAAGAAATGGAAGAAGCTGGAAAAAAGGAAAGAGAATTGGCTATTGCAAGAGGCGATGTGCTTGCAGGCTATAATATACCGTGGATTCCAGTTGTCGCAGATGGCAGCTGGATGAGAAGATCGTACCGCGGAGGAGATTACAATTCTCTTTCTGGCGTAGGAGCCATCGTGGGATATCATACGAAAAAAGTGCTGTATATCAGCGTTAAAAATAAATTTTGTATGAATTGCCAAACAGCAGCAAAAAAGAAAGAAGCAGCGCGCGAACATATTCGCCTAGTATATTCTATATTAGTTGCCGATGGCGATAGCAGCGTGTACAAGAAAGTATTGGACAATGATCCATATAAAGATTATATGGTGCATATACGAAAAATAGAATGCACCAATCACCTGCTACGGAATTTCAGTAGCAAAATAAACGACATCGTAGTAAAAGGCCGCTACAAAGAGCTATGAGCTGTTGTAAAGGACAATGCTCTGCGGCTGCGTACTGGAATAAAGAAAGCTGCAGAATACCGGTTCAAAGAAATAATCAGACCAGTCGATCAAATAAAAAATTTGAAGGAGGACATGAAAAATGTACTGAGTCATGTTTTCGGTGAACACAAGGAGTGTCAGAAGTTAGCATATTTCTGCACCAAATATTCTGATCCGAACAAAGTAAATTATGTTCCACGATTGAAGCAAGGTGGTATATATCAAAGCATTGAAGAAGCGATGCAGCCACTTTTTGCTCAAGCTGAAAGTTTGTTGTACGCTTTAAATAATAATGCTGTAGAAAGCGTTAATAATATAATTGCCAAATTCATCGGAGGAAAAAGGATAAACTTTGGACAAAGAGGCTCATATCAGGGTAGAGTCTCCGCTGCTGTCGTCCAATTTAACACTGAAGAGACCTTTAGTAAATTGAGTGTGGCAACGAATAAAGAGCCGACAAACATCGTAAGAAAGATGGAAGAACGTCGGAAGCGTGCAGCAGAAATGGCATCTAAATATAAAAAGAAGCGAAAGCATCCTCCTTCAGAAATCAGAAACAATCGTACGACCAGGATTACGGCCCCAGTGCAGCAAAACCAGATATGGAAGAGACTGTATACTCTTCCGAGTATGAAAGGCACATGGCCATACTCCATGAGTGGCACACGATGCGGCACGCGATCGAAGCAGAAACTCGCGATCAAGCGAAAAGCGAGAAATGGATAGCCTGCAGGAGAAAATTATTAACCGCATCAAATTTCGGCAAGATATGCAGATTACGAAAAGATACACCGCGGAAAAATACTTTGAAAAGTATAATGTAACCGCAAATACCGAATTTACTATTATCAAGTGCAAGGACAGTTGCACATAACGAATAGACAATGCGCTCTATTCTGTTTATGGACGCCGAAAGGAATGAAAATTATAAAAGTACCAAGAAATGATACATTCTGGGCAACAGAGATGGAGGAAAAACTGAGAAAGTTTTATGAGGACTGCATGTTGCCAGAAATCATAGATAGTAGATTCAATCGACACCAACCGATTAGAGAACCTCCGTACATAAAGACAGGAGGGAGGACCATGTACGAGTACACAGTAAAGTACACCATGCAATACCAATACACCAGCGTGTGTGCAGCGGATATGAATAGCTGTTACAAAAAAAATGCAATACCAATACACTGGCGTGTGTGCAGCGGATATGAAGAGCTGTTACAAAAAAAATGCAATAGCAATATACCGGCGTGTGTGTAGCGGATATGAAGAGCAGTTACAAAAAAATGCAATAGCAATACACCGGCGTGTGTGCAGCGGATATGAAGAGCTGTTACAAAAAAAATGCAAATCCATTACACTGGCGTGTGTGCAACGGATATGAAGAGCTGTTATAAAAAAAATGCAATACCAATACACTGGCGTGTGTGCAGCGGATATGAAGAGCTGTTACAAAAAAAATGCAATACCAATACACTGGCGTGTGTGCAGCGGATATGAAGAGCTGTTACAAAAAAAATGCAATAGCAATATACCGGCGTGTGTGTAGCGGATATGAAGAGCAGTTACAAAAAAATGCAATAGCAATACACCGGCGTGTGTGCAGCGGATATGAAGAGCTGTTACAAAAAAAATGCAGTACCAATACACCGGCGTGTGTGCAGCGGATATGAAGAGCTGTTGAATACTGTTCCAAAATGTAAATATGAAGGTATGTAAAAGATAAATACGGAGAGTGAAGAGGACCGTCTATGACGGGGGTGGTGGTGGGTATCTTTACACTCTCCTAATAATTTATACTTGCACCTACTTTTCCTTACTTTGTACGGGAAGAGTACAATGTACGACAGCGTAAGTACGACACTTATACTTTTGGTATACAAGTAGTTGGATTAATTGGAAGTCATCATGAATTTCATATATGAATTTGTTTTAATTATTTCCAGTGACCAATATCAATGGTGAAAATGCTGCTCGACGAAGAGAGAAAACCAAGCAGGTCTTCACCATGCAAGCATAAAGATAAGTAAATCACATACATTTACATCTTTACTACATGCAAATTGATTAGAACTCATTCTAACTTTTTATCTTAGCTTCTATCACAATTTACTGAAATCGAAAGGGATCACCATTGCAAGAAGTATTGGTGAGAAATAGGAAACTAATAGTGGATTCATCGAGCAGTGTAGGTATCAGCATTTACATTAAAGTAGTATAAACTCAAAAAGTAATTGTTATTAAACTTATTTATTGTTACAGATCAAACCAGGGTATACAGCATGATAGTTTAAGAGATCCTGTATCGTGTCAACCTAATTTTATACATAATGCTTATTCAATAATTGCTTTCTGCATAGCACGTTTAATTATGTTATAAGTGTATAGCGTTCATATTCTGCTGTAGTACTTTGTTAATAAAAAAAGGCTTGTACTTCACTGGTCAGTGTTTTAATCACTTTTTGATATGAAGGGTCAGAATCTTTTGGTAATTATCCTTCCATACTGATCATTCGCTATTTATGAAATAATCTAACCCTAACCTAACCGTTTAGTACTTTTATAGTGTTCGTTTAGTAATTTTATATAAAAAAATGTGGAAGCTAAGAAACATTATTTTTCTGGGATTTCCCCTCATTTATTTTTCCTTTTCACTTATAGTTCCTCACTGCAACGTAATATATTGTAGCATAAACAAATTATAATTAATTAAAAGTACATTGAATTCTCTACGCTTGCAATATCAACCAGACTTTGCGTTTAAATTTTGTCAAGTACAATGCAACAGCTGACTATTTCTTTTACATTCAGAATAGAATACAGAATTAGCAAAAAGCGCCCTCTCGTTTTCATGGGCCAGCCCTATATCTATGGGTATTACAATTTCTGTGCAGAAAAATCTGCTGTAATACCGACCGGCCAACTCGGAAAGGTCACGTGCCGTGTCTACCCCCTTAAATGCATACTGAATTGCGGGAGGTAATCAGTATGTTACATTATATGTAATGTAGATATAGTTTTAATGATATTGTTAAGATATCCTCATTTGTCTGAGGGAAGGGATCAGTATATTACATTATATCCAATGTAGATATAGGAAGAATGATATTGTCATGAAATGTAGGTACATTGATGCGTGGGAAGGGATCAGTATATTACATTATACCTGACGTAGCTATAGTAATAATGATATTGTTATTAAATGTTTATTACGTATCTAATGTCGATATAGTAATAATGATATTGCTATCAAATGTACACTGATCTGTGGGAAGTAATGAGTATATTACATTATATGTAATGTAGGTATAGTAATAATGATATGGTTATTAAATGTACATTGTTCTGTGGGAATAAATCAGTATATTACATTATATCTAATGTAGATATAGTAATAATGATATTGTTATTTCAGTAAAGACTCGATAAGTGTTCAGAATTTGGGACCGGCGAGGAACATTTAGCGAACAGAAGAATTGATTCTGCTAACCGTTTGTATTTTCCCGACGTCGACGAACATAGAAAGAGACAGTCTAATAAAAAAGAAAGAGGGACTGAGAGTCGAGGCGGTCGTAAAAAATTAAATTCCTACATATCCGTGAGACAATACTAATGCAACAAACAAACTTTTTTATTTTTTTTTTTTTAAATAAAACTTTCACCAACATATTTGTGAGATTTTCCTGATTAAAATGAGACCAAACACGATATTGTTATGACAATTGGTTATGATGATTAGACTTGTAAATGTTCGTCTTTTCTCGCTGTCTTTCTGTATTGGTCGACGTCGGCAAAATATAAAGCGTCTAAGCATCTTTCCCTTAAATGTGCCGAAGGCGAACACTTATCGTGAAGTTGAAGCGAATAAAACCGGTTTTCTCGAACGGGACAGTCTTCTACACGTTAACTGTTCGAACAGCGAGTCCTGGTTCCTATAAGTGATCACCTTTCGAGATCGCTGAGGAACATTTAGCGAACAGAAGAATCGATTCTCTAACTGTTTGTATTTTGCCGTCGCGACGTCAACGTAGAAAGAGACATGGATTCGGAGCTGACATAAGGGTTAAAAATTAAATGCCTACATATTCATGAAAAAATACTAATGGAATAACATTTTTTTATTTATAAATTATGGTTTTTAAATAAAAATGTTATTAATACATGAAATTTTTCTGATTAAAATTATTCATTTTTACAAAAAATTACAAATAACTATAAAATTATACATACTGTAAAAAAATACAAAAGATATTACAACAATCATGTGAAATTGCAGGAAGATACAAAACTTAAATATGTTAAATGATAAATAATAAATATATTAAGGATTTTTGGTTAATAATTGTTCTAATTCCATTGTTAATTGGTAGTCCGTACTGAATGTTACAGGATAAACTTACACACTGTAAAATTTCTTTCACTCTCTCTGGTCGCGAAGTTTCACTTAATTGTCCACTATTTTTCTCTTCATCCTTTTCTTCTTCTGTTTCCTCATCATCTTCTTCAATATCTTCTCTGTAATCCTCGTCACAATTTTCCTTACCCCGAATTCTTTCTTCACGTGTACTAGGTGACAGAAAATCAATGGCCTCTGCTTCTGTTATCTGACCTTCACTCACTGTGGATATGAGTTCTTCTAAATTTTCCTCTTCAGAATCATCCTCGCCATGTGAAGGGGCCTCAATTAAATTATTCCACCCGTTCCTAATATTTTCGGGTGTGAATTCTGCCCATGCTTGGACCACCATATCAATGCAATCCTTAATTGTGTAATTTTTATAAAATTCATTAATTCCCCCTTCGTGGGTTAAAACAGTTCGTAGCATTTGTTTTCTAAAAACTCTTTTTGTATTTTCAATGATCCCCTGATCCATGGGTTGAATAAGCGACGTTGTATTGGGGGGGAGATACATAATTTGAAAATTGTCTCGATCTTGAATATCATGTGGAATTTGAGAACCTGTACAATTATCTAGTAATAAAACTATTTTTCCGCATAGTCTTTTTCGTAATTGATACGCACGAACACTCGGTTTAAAATGATTTTCGTACCAATCTATAAATGGTTCTTGATCTACCCACGCATTTTTTGGGGATTTAAATACCACTGGCAATCGGTGTAGCGAATGTTTTAATGCCCTTGGGTTGGATATTTGTATATCACCAAGGGCATGATTTTATTATTTCCAGTGATGTTGGCACACAAAGCTATCGTTACGCGATCTTTTCGCATTTTATAACCACTAACACTTTTTTCAACTGCTAATGTCTTGGTAGAAAAGGCTTTCCAAAACAGCCCGCTTTCATCCATATTGTAAATATTCTCCAGATTAATATCATTGTCTTCAATAAAATGTTTCAACTCTTGAACAAAACTCTTGGCTGCATATTCGCTTTAATCAAGCGAATATTATGCCGCCGTTTAAAGTTAGCAAGCCATGATTTGCTGACTTTAAAGTTTGTAGATGATGCCATGTCCTGCTTCAATTCTTCAGCCTTTTCTAATAACACAGCATCGGTCAAGAAATCTCCAAGTGTTCTCCTTTCCGTGAACCAAGTGAACAAACGATGCTCCAATTCTTCATACATCGGTTTTCTCACTCTTTGTCTTTGCCGCACTCCTTTAGTTTTTGATGCAAATTCTTCAATACGTACAGCATTTGTTACGTTGCGCGTGCGACGGCGCAACGTAAAAAGGAAAGATATTGAAGGATAGTGGTTAAATTTCAATTAGTTAGTTGGAATTCAATCCCCTATTCTTTCTTCCCAATTTTGGCGCGATGGTTGGTACAGCTGCCATCAGTCTTGAGCAGGTTAACGCTCTCAACAATTAAAAGACGGAAGACAAAATTAATAAGATGTTAAATTAGAAGTTTCAAACTAATAGCCTTTCGTTGGGTTCGTTCAACGCTTAGGTCCCGTACGGGTCCCTCCTTGAATCTGCGTATCTTGGTAGGCGTGTTTTAACTGAAAAGTGTGAGGTGTGTTTGAAATAAATTTGAAACTGTTTAAGTGAATGAAACTGGTTTAATAGTGAATGAAAAATCAAGTGAATAATAACAGAGAAATGCCAGAATTGAGATTTTTATAAATTTGGAAAAATTCGTTAGTGTAGAAGATACCAGTTTTTGCAAAAATGTGAACAAGGGTAAAGATGCTTAGAATTAATTAACAAAAATATTTGATATGAAAACGCTCTGATATCACAATTGAAACTATTGAGTTATGTACTGGTCGCGTGAAATGGTTATCACTATTTCGTTTTCCTTGAATTAAACGAGAAATCGGCGGTTTCGCCCGTGTGGGTACACCCCAGCCTAAGATACTCTCGTAACCCTCGAAAGGACTGGACTAAGGTGCCCCTTTGATGATAGAAAATTGGAATGGCGAGATAGTGATAATTGAGGAAAAATAATTAAATCAGTCGATACCTCGTGTGGTGGAACGATCGGACCTGAAAAACTCTCGTAACCCTGTAGGGCTGGACCAGATCGCCCGTTTTGCCAAATGATAACCGTCGTGATTGAAAAATGTAATAGAATCGACTTACCGTTACGCTGTTTAATACGATACAAGATTTATAATTTTCGCTTGCTAAGATTCTGTTTGGATTCGCTTGATGATCTGGAACACCAAAGAACGATAAGATTTCGATCACTGCACTTGTCGCGGCGAAAACGGATTATTACGGACGAGTACGTCGACGAGAGACAAGCGAATAACGAAAAATACGAATTACAATTAATATAAAATTACGCGAGATGAAGTTAATACGAAAATACTACGCGAGCAAACGATTTAAAAGCAGAAAGAAAAGATAGAAGATTAGGGAGAAGGAAGGTCTATGAGTCCTTATTCAGAATTCCGATTATTTTAACTCGCACGGCATCTGCCTCGCTACGCGGAGGACTTTACCGCAGTGAAAATATCGCGAGCTTCCAAATAACTCTGTCTCTCGGACACACGGGCTCCCGATCACGTACTTACGATTGATCGATCAAGAGTGACAAATTTCGTGCGCGATCGATGGTCGAAGGGCCCGTCGCGCGAACATCGTCCTTGGAGGGGACGGTTTGGCGAATCGTAGTTCGTTTTCGGAAGCGTCGCGTGCCCGGTGATTGGTTAAGACGCGCGAGCTAGACGAAGATCCTTCATCCCCTTTCTTTTCTACTTCGTCGCCATGATAGTTTCAACGGTTTTCAGAAACTACGCAGTATTTCTCTTTATATGTATAATTAATTAATGCATTGAATTGAAATATAACTATTGATTTGATTGAATTGTAGAATGAGATTTGAAATTGAAATATACAGGTTTTGATAGAGGAAGCCGTCATCAGTTTATCAGGATCAAAATTATTCGCTTTCCTGATTTTCAATAAAGATAGTCTAATTTAACAGGTTTAAAAGCGGACGATGTGCTTACGGTGGTTGTAATGCCGTAGCGAATTATGCATTTAACAACAATCTATCGCACATTAGCTTCGATGAATTCGGCATTTCGCATTCTATGAATTTTAAACAATTTTCAATCTGGCGAACGTTCCTTCGAGAACGTTCCTTTGTTCAAAATTTGCCGTTATCGCTAGGC